AATAGGACTGTGTCTCCCTCAGAAGTGGCAGTCTCATCGATGGTGGTCGTGACAATATCAGCAGAACATCAGCTCTTCTTTTTCGGAAGCAGCGGGAGAAGATCGTCCTAGGGAGTGCTGCCAAAGAGAACTACGAGGCAGCATACATCATACCTTCCTACCCAGGGGAAGACACTCGCTGCTGGATCGTTGAAGTTGATGGGCCCGTCTCCGAGATGCTCGGAGCTCCGAGCATTAAGCCGATGGATAGAAAATGCATCCGAGCTTGATAGTTTGTGCTAGGAAGACGGCCAAGCATTGTTGTTGGCAGTTGCGCAACTCAGCTCGCGATTCCCCGGAGCCTCGTAGCGGGGATACGCGCCGCCAAGAGACCATGGCTGGTTGAAACATATGTGTGTGTCGTATCAATCGGCATCTTGGCCTCAAAGCAAGCAGGGGAGCAAATTTTCTAGCACGCCTTGAACGCCACACATGATGATCATGGACATGTTGGGGGCGCAGCGTGGAAGTTTGGTGGCATACGGAGCGCCAGCGCGTCCGTTTGGCGCGTTGGTTGCCGATTGTATATGCAGCGCACGGCTTGAGGCGGCAACTAAACTAAACCCACCCAACGACGTTTTCGAGCAGGAGAGATGAGCGGGCGTAACAAGCCCCCTCCCCGGGAACGTTCGGGTTGGGGTTGTGGAGAAGGCGGCGCTGGACCTGGGGAAGCGTGGAGAGAACGACAGACTGCTGTGTTCCAGAAGCGAGATGCCAAGATGAGGCTGAGCGCCATTTTAGGCCCCTCCCTTTTGCAACGCATGTTAAGCCTCCGGGCTCGGTCTGGGTCTGGGTCGTAAGAAAAGACACCAGGGGCCGGCACTTGTAAATTGTGGGATCGACAGGAACCGTAATTTGCCGTCGGATGATGTTTTTTCATTTGGCGTTGATACAAACGCTTGCATCATGGGATTTTTCTTGTTTCATCATGATGCGGTACTTGGGTGCTTCTGCGCGACGATTCAGTCGCATTGGCCGAGCCCTAGGTGACTTTTTCAAACTCACAGTCGGATTTCCCTGGTGCAATTTGGTTACGAACACCAAGCCAGGAGTCAAAAATGCACAAGAACGAAGCTCAGGCTCCAGAGTCCTGGAGGGGTGGCCAGGTACCGGGTTTGTGTAGCGTCGCATGAGAGGCAACTGCAGCCAGATTTGCTTCAATCGGATCAGGAGGGCGAGGCGACTTTGGTGCATCCGTTTTGCGCATCTCTTGAGAGGCCCCGCAAGGTGGCAACCCCTGCCAGTATGTAAGACATCATACCATTGCTGGGACGCCTACGCGCGGTTGATCGCCTGACATGAAGGTAGATTCGATTGTCCATTACGAGTTCAGCCCTCCGGAGATCCCGGTTGTCACACAGCAAGAATTTAGTTGAACAGTGGCACGACAGCTCGCACAATATGGCGGAGTGTTGCCCGCGAGGGGCCACATTCGTCATCTTGATCGGAGACTTGGCGGCGTAACAATAAGTGGTGGACCAATTAAGCCAGGATACGGAGGAGCCATCGAGGAACTGGATTGCAGGGGCGGGGAACCAAAAGAGAAGAAAATGCCAACCCATCTCCCCCCGTCTTTCGCCAATCCATCAGGGTCGTGCGCATGCGACGCACTACACGAGTCGAGCTCTCGTGATGATAAACGCTCACCGACCTGGCATGGTGGAGCCTGCCCACTACAGCATCATGGGTCATACGTTGTAGCATGTGGAATGTGGGACACGGCAACATGGGGGCAGATTGTGAGGTTCAGTTCGACGACCAGTGTTTCCCAACCATCTGGACAGTCGCACGGCCCAGAAGCGCTCGCCAGACGCCAAACGCCCGTCGGCCACACGCACGACGCGAGACAAATAGGCACGCAAGGCACGTAGGCAAACTGCAAGCGGACAAGCGGGCAAACGGACAAACGGGCAAGCGAGCAGGCAAGCAAGCAAGCAAGCGCGAGGCTCGGAAGCGACAATCCAGACGCCTTCTCGGGTGCTCCCACGAACCGTCCAACTCTAAAGCACGAGTGGCCCAGTCGCTCACGGGGATAAGCTTAAAGGCCAAGAGTATAGGCTCAGTGTTCCCCCCCAGTCACAGGCCCGATATTTGCCTTGGCCTCCAGTCCATCAACACGATTTCTACTGTCCCTGAAAGACCCGCGCCACGATTTCTCACGGCTCTGCTGTTGGTTACACACTGCCGACAAGCCCGGCCTACCCACAACATAGCGCGTTGCGCTGCACCACCACTGTGGTGAGGCGTTATACTCTGCAGCATTGGCACTACAGATGGTCCGATCGCCAATTTCATCGAGAACATACACAACCTGCACCAAAACAAGCTCCAGCCATGTGAGCCATGCCAGCCACCAAACCAGCGACGAATCGCATGGGATCGTGTTCGTGGTGGGTGGTTTGAGGGGCCCCTTGGATTGTGGCCTCAACATTAGTTCGTTGCACCACCTCAACATTGCCCATGAATGGCCGAGAAGCAAGGACCAAAAACACTCGCCAACCAGAGTGGACGCGCCTCCGCCCGACGACACGTCTTTGGGAAGAATTCGGAGCACTGCCCATTCACTCTGGAAGGGGGGGCAGCCATCTGCGCAACCTCGTGGCCCTGTCGACGGATGCAACGGATGCGTACCTTCGCAGATGACTGAGCTAGTCGAACCACCGAGTCATCCCGACCCTCCTTGCACGATTGGCGGCAGCCTTGCGACAGACGAAGGTCTTGGGAGTGGACGAGCACGACTCCAGCTCGCCCTCCTTCACAATGCTGCCAAGCCAAGGTGCGGCCTCGTCTCGAAGGGTGCACAACGAATATTGGCGACCTTTCCGTGGTGATAGGTGCTGCGCCCGAAGTTTCCCCATCAAAAGGGCCGCTCCCCCGCTCTCGCTTTCCCTCGAATGTCGGTCTTCTCTCCGCTGACCCATGTCAAAGGGCAATACAGGTCCTCTCATTGATCAGGGCCCCAAGTGCCGCGGGGCCACAACCCCGGCGCTAGAGGTTGGCAGAGGGGGGGCCACCCGCTGCGGAGTGCTGCTGTGTAGGTGATGACCTCAACCCCCGCCCCCAGTCCCCGCTGCCAGCCACCAGAGCATGTTTCGGGGGCACCGGGCAGGCAAGGCCAGTAGCGTCGGAACCTGATTAGAGTCCCTGCTTAGCATTGGTCTAGGAGGCATTCGAGGGGGGGGCAGATCCATCGACCCACCACTTTAATGGGCTTCTGTAGCCTCGAGCTCCCTTTGGAGATCCATGCATCCCACGCATCCCGGCTCCTTGGCATGGCTTTTTTTGCGCCTCTCGTTAGCCCCCCACGTACGTGTACGCTACGTCTGTACATGTACCTACCCATCGATAACAGGAAGCAACACCTTACGCAAGGACGCAAAAAGACAAGCAGGCAGGCTGTCGAGGAAAACGGTTGCTCATGGTGATTGTGCGAAGCGTCTCCAAAGTGGCAACCGCCCCCCCACCCCTTTCAAAATGTTGAAAAAAAAAATGAAAAAAATAAGACGGGCAGCAGCATCGAGTGCGCATCTTTTACCCCAACCCCAACTCTGATCCTTCAGCCTTCAGCCTTTGAATGGCTAGGTGTTGCAGTACGTTGCGTCGCAGACAACGAGAGGGGGGTGGGGGGTGAATGGGTGAGTGGCTTTTGGCGCGAGATGAAAGTATCCAATATCCTAACCGTCAGCCGGGGCGCTCCTCTCCACCTCGAGACGGCTGGCTGCACATCGTATTGGCACCATGAAAAGCTATCGAACCATTCGGGCGGAGGGATGCGCATCGCACTTGCGTCGGAGCCCACGTTTCCTTTCTTGCCTGTCGACTAGCTTGGGAGCCTGTCGGTGGTCGCGCGTGTCCGTCGAAGCTTCTTCAGCCCGTTCGTCCCGTATTCCTCCATGGATGAGATCAATGGAAGATCCCCAGGTAAGGTACCTATCTGCCCACATACCTACCTTAGGTACATGTACAAGCAGGCCTCTGATTCCATGCCACGGCGATGACGGGACATGCAAGTGGACGAGGCAGGCGCGACCCAGACCCAGACCCAGACCCAGGCAGACCTCTAGTAGAAAGTCCCCTCCGGGCAGCACCCCGCGAATGGGCAGTCGCAAAGCGCAAGGGCTCCGGTTCTTTCCCCGCATCAACGAGATTTGCAGCTTGCATCTTACTCTCGTCTGTCGTCGCTTCCGAGTCATTGTCGACATATCAAGGTTGTGGATACCACAGCGCCTGCAACCTCACCATGATACCCTGGCGTCCGTTCCTCCGCCCAGTCTCCATAGCCTTACCTTCCGGCGAGCTACTGTAGACCTGCGCACCCCTGCTCTTCCCGGCCAACTTGGGACCTTCGTAGGTTTCTTTTGTTGCTGGTGCATCGTGCCCCATGCGCCAACCCATGTGCACCCCTCCCTCACTTCGGTCGAGGCTCAGATCAAAAATCTCACCCGCATCCCGCTCCACGTTGTCAGAAGTTTTCGTGTCCAATCCAGACCCCAGCTCTCGGACGCAAACAGCTTCTCGTTGAAGCAGTCCTGGCCGGCCGCGACATCGGCACCCTGTCGTCCCCGTCCGTCCCCGTCCCCATTACCGCGCACAAAGACATCCCGCAACGACCCAGTAGTGGCCCCCTTCTACATCCCCCCCCCCCCCCCCCCCCCCACCGGTCGTGCCCCTCCTATGACCACGAGCTTCCCCCTCAAACCGATGATCGTTTCTCCAAAGGGGGAGGAGGACCATAGCGCGAAATCAATCTGACCTACGGATCGCGACCCCATTACAAGAGTGACGGCATCCCCCCTCGTTTGTTGGCCCCCCTTCTCGATCGAGCTCCTTCCTCATCCTCATCACTTCGCCCTTTCCGCCTCTTTCTCCCCTTCTTCCTCTAACCCTTCTTTCCTCCACATCACTGACACTCACATCTGTGCACTCCTGTCTCGTCAACGGCCCTGCGGCATCGTGACAGCATGTCAGCCATCGATGAGAAGCCCCAGGCGGAGATCGACCGTGTCGAGACTTCATCGGGCGACAATGGAAAGGGCGGTATCGAGTATGAACGAGCCCAGCTGCTCGCGAACCTTCCTGATCCCGACGCGGGCAAGTCGGAGGAGGAGCGCCGCGCAATTGTAAGTTGAGGACAGAACAGCTGGTTCTTTACGTTACAGGATTACAGGACGGTCTCGCTAACACGCAATCAAAGGACAAGAAGCTCATGTGGAAAGTTGACCGATGGCTGATCCCTTGGCTGTCTCTGCTGTGAGTTTTCCCCAACAAGCAAATGATTCATGCGCAAGACCGTGTGCTCTCTTTCTTTCGCTCCTGCGAGTGCACCCCGCTGACCCATTCACCAGCTACCTTCTCTCGTTCCTCGACCGTACCAACATTGGCAATGCGCGTCTCGCCGGAATGGAACCCGATCTCGGCATGGAGAAGGGTGACTATCAACTGTCCCTGACGATCTTCTTCATCAGCTACGCCCTCGCTGAACCCCTGACCAACGCCCTCCTGAAGCGCCTTACACCCCGAATCTTCTTCACCGGCATCATCCTCAGCTGGGGTGTCATCATGACCCTCATGGGTCTCGTCAAGAACTTCCAGGGCCTGCTGGCCGCTCGTTTCTTCCTCGGTGTTGCCGAGGCCGGTCTGTTCCCTGGCGTGAACTACTACCTCTCTTGCTGGTACAAGGGCTCGGAGATCGGTGTCCGTTCGTCACTCTTCTTCTCCGCTGCCGCGCTGGCCGGCTCCTTTGGCGGTCTTCTCGCAGCCGGCATTGCCCAGATGGATGGCATCGCTGGCATGCCCGGCTGGGCCTGGATCTTTATCATTGAGGGTATTGCCACTGTCTTTGTTGGTGTCTTCTGCTGGTGGATGGTTTTCGACTGGCCCGAGACGGCCAGCTTCCTCACTCCTGACGAGCGCATCCGCGTTCAGCGCCGCATCATCATGGACCGCCAGGGTCGCACGGCCGAAGACTTTGACAAGCGCCACATCTACGCTGCCCTGGGCGACTGGAAGACATACGGCTGGATGGTCATCTACATGGGCTGCCTGACGCCTCTGTACGCCTTCTCGCTCTTCCTGCCCACCATTCTCCGCGGTATGGGTCACACCGGCACTCGCGCTCAGCTCCTGTCTGTGCCTCCTTACGCCGTTGCTGCCTGCTGCACTGTGGCCGTTGGCTTCCTTGCTGACCGCACGCGCTGGCGTGGATACTGCAACATGGTGACCGTCACTATCGGCATCATCGGCTTTGTTCTGCTCATGGCATCGTCAGACCCGCAGGTCCAGTACGCCGGCACCTTCCTCGGCGCCGCAGGCATCTACCCCACCATCTCCAACACACTGTCGTGGGTTATCAACAATACCGAAGGTTCACTCAAGCGCGCTTTTGTCCTTGGCATGGTCGTCGGCTGGGGAAATCTCAATGGTGTTGTCTCCTCGAATATTTATCTTGACCGCGAGAATCCTCGCTTCTGGACTGGTCACGGCGTCGTTCTGGGTTACCAGGTTCTCTTCCTGTTGGGCGGATCTGTGTTCATGCACATTGCCCTCAGAATATCAAACCGCAACCGCCGGGCTGGCAAGATGGATGCCAAGTGGGCAACGCTCACGGAGGAACAAAGATGGATTAGCGGCGACAAGAGGCCCGACTTCATTTACACTCTGTAAATCACTGACCGACCATTTTGTTACTTCATCGGCTGTCCAGAGGAAGAATCATAACTTTGCAAGGAGCGATCGAAAGTCTGGCGTGCAGGAGTGATCGAAAGTCTGGCGTGCACGAGTGAAGGCTCTCAGTCGTCATATCTATAGATCAAGAAACTGATCAATTTGCCATTCAACATGAGTTGCCGTTTCGATACGTGCATGTCGTCCGTGCCTGCCTACTCCCATGACGTTGTGATGATCGTGTTTGGGTCTGATGACTAACACCTGCGGATAGCATCCTAGGCATCAGGGTTGTAGGAGAGCCGCACACGCATTTCGTCATCAGCATCGCGATGGCGTGCGAGCTTCATTGTACCACCAAAACATTCCTTCGCGACACCCACCTCCAAACACGTGCTCGGATCGCCATGGTGCCATCAAACGCCATCACCATGGAGTCTCAGATGTCAGCTGCGCTTATCAAGCAGTCATCGCGCCCCATGATTTCTATCTTGCGATGCCTCCCACAACCATGACGCGGGCGTCCGTTTGTTGCGAACACTTCCAAGACCAACAAACTGTAGTTGCCCGAGACATGACAGATATACACAGCCTACAAACGACGCTTCCACGATTTCAAGTGCCGGCGCGAAGTCGGGCATGTTAGCAAAGCTAGACGACTACCAGAAACGCCCAATCATCATGACGATCACCGACGCCGAAGCCCAGCCGCTCCTCTCACCGGCCACCTCTAGCAGCTCAAGCACGACGCTGTACTCCAATAACTTCAACAAAATATCGCGTCGTATCGAAGACGATGTGCTCCCCGAAGCTTCCTCCCTAGGCCGCACGCTCTCCTGGCAGAGTGCTTATATCCTTGTCATCTCCCGAGTCATCGGCAGTGGTATCTTCGCAACGCCGGGCTCCATAGTTCGCGCCGTCGGCAGCCCGGGGCTAGCTCTGCTGCTGTGGGTCGTGGGTGCTGCCGTGGCCGCTTGCGGCTTGGCCGTTTCGTTGGAATTCGGCTCCATGCTGCCGAGGTCGGGCGGCGACAAGGTATACCTCGAGTTCACATACAGGCGGCCGCGCTTCCTCGCCTCGACACTGGTGGCCGTCTATGCCGTCCTGCTCGGCTTCACGGCCAGCAACTGCATTGTCTTCAGCCAGTATGTCCTGTTCGCACTGGGCCAGGAGCAGGCGGGCGATATTCTCCGCAAGGGGCTGGCTGTGGCATTGCTCGCAGCCGTCACCGGAGTCCATGCCGTATTCCCCAAGACAGGCGTCCGCTTGCAAAATTTCCTAGGCTGGGTCAAAGTTGGCATCATTATCTTTATGATCCTGTCTGGCCTGTACGTCGTGCTTCTGCGTCCGGAACAGCGACTACCAGCGCAAGGGTCCAGCCTGGCATGGGACACACTTTGGGAACACTCAAACTGGAACTGGGGAATCATCGCGACGTCGCTGTTCAAGGTCTTCTACTCGTTCGCTGGGCTGGACAATGCCAACAACGTGCTGAACGAGGTCAAGGATCCCGTGCGGACCTTGCGGTCTGTTACCTTCACTGCGCTCATTACGGCTTGCGGCTTGTACCTGCTCATTAACGTGGCCTACTTCATCGTTGTCCCCATCGACGAGATCAAGGAGAGCGGCGAATTGATTGCAGCGCTCTTCTTCGAGAGGGTCTTCGGACCCGGCGTGGGGCGCATCATCTTACCCTTGACCGTTGCCCTGTCCGCTGTGGGAAACGTACTGGTCGTGGCCTTTGCTCAGGCCCGGCTCAAACAGGAGATTGCCAGGCAGGGCTTCCTTCCCTTTTCTGAGATTCTCTCAACAACACGCCCCTTCAACTCGCCGATAGGAGGGTTGGCGGTACACTTCGTGCCCTCCCTCCTCGTCATAACACTACCGCCATCGCGTGAGGTATACTCTTTCATCCTAGAAGTAGAAGGCTATCCTGGCCAGTTCTTCTCCCTGGCAGTGGCATTCGGCCTCGTGTGGCTGCGGTTCAAGCGTCCAGATCTGAAGAGGCCGTTCAAAGTCTGGCTGCCTGCTGTGGTGCTGAAGATCTGTTTGAGTCTCAGCCTGCTCGCTGCACCGTTCTTCCCGCCGCCAAATCGGCACGAGGGCGAACTTTTCTACGCCACATATGCTATCGTTGGTGTGAGCATGTAAGTTGCCCTTGCTTTACATGACCCAAACCCTGCTAACGAATGTAGTATCACTGCTGCGACAGTGTACTGGTATGTTTGGACGCGACTCATCCCGAGGCTTGGGGGATACAGATTGGAAGAGAAGGTTGATGTGCTCAAAGATGGGACTAGCATCACTAAGCTGATTCATGAACCGTTGTGAGCGGCAACGTTGTCACTGAAAGTATCATAGAGGGTAGACTCTTTCTATTCATAGAACTGGGTGCATGTCAGTTGTGCTCTTTTGAAAGCCTGCTAGTGAAGTCTTCGCCGTGGTGGTCGATGCTTCTGATGGATCTCAATCATCGTGCAACGCGCGTAGCTTATACACCATGTGTGAATTTACATACATAACCGTCATCCAGTAATCCTTTTCAATGTTTTATTCATAATCGAGCATCTTCTCGCGTTGTCTACGTCACTCGCGCCTTGCCAGCGTGCCCAGATCGCATCTCATTGGGTTGCTTATCAATCCCTTGATCAACCGAGTTGAGGAGTGAATGGCGTGCTCGCGGGGTGTCTGTTGAGGTGACCATTGCATAAAAAGGGCGAAGTCCACGCCCAAAGATAGCGTCGCAGGACTCACAAGACCATTGCCAGAAACCACATGACCGACGTGTCGTTGATCTCTTAATTTTATAGCTATCAGCCTTTGCGTATTCCAGATTCCTTTCATCATGGCCGCCGCCGTCGTTCACCAGATCCCCACAGGGACCTTCGGTTCTCTCCAGAGTATCGATAACCCCGTCCAAGTCGAGACTTCGAACGCACCCAAACAGTCCCGTCATGACGTTGAGACATCCCTCAACTACTTCAAACCCAATGAGGACGGCTCACCTCCTCACCCTACCTACGTTGATCGCCCTGAGACTTACGACCGACCGTTCGAGTCTCACAAAGTCACCGTTAAAGACATTTCAGGCCGGGAGGCTGAGTTCTCGCTCGATTCCAACGGGTTCCAGATTCATCGACATACAGCGCAAGAGCGCGACTTCCTCGATGATGGCCAGATTAAGACTTCATACTATCTCGAAACAGAGCAGCTCCTCAAGGATGTGTAAGTTGCCGAGGGCTTTTGACCATGGAAAACTCTTACACATCACAGCACTGGTGCCTCAAAGATCTTTATCTTCGACCACACCATCCGCCGTCAGGCCCCTGACGCAGAGCCGAAAGGTCGAACGCTCCGAGGGCCCGTCCAGCGCGTCCACATTGACCAGTCGTATGCGGCAGCGCTCACGCGGGTTCCGCACCATCTGCCCGAACAAGCAGAGGAGCTCCTTAGCGGTCGCGTGCAGATCATCAACGTCTGGCGGCCCATCAAGACTGTCCATCGGGACCCGCTTGCCGTGGCCGAAGCCGATTCAGTCCCGGATTCGGACCTCGTCGTGACGGAGCTCATCTACCCCAACCGCCGTGGTGAGACGTATGCTGTCAAGCACAACAGCAGCCATAAGTGGTTTTACAAGAGCGGATTGACCCCAGACGAGGTGCTTCTCATCAAGTGCTTCGATAGCAAGACGGACGGCCGGGCGCGCCGTGTGCCCCACACGGCATTTGTGGACCCATCGGCTCCGGAGGATGCGCCGCTGCGGGAGAGCATCGAGGTGCGGGCATTGGTGTTCCATCCGGATGATCATGAGTAATTGGAATCATAGGAGCTGAAGGATGGGGATATGACTTTCGCTATGTATAATCATTTATCATTGTTCAATGAGGCCAAGTTGTTTGATTTACAACTCACCCCGTGTGTGCTTGAACCGGAGAGTGGGTGCATAACGACAGTCTTACAGCATCATTGTCTCAAACATACCGTACCCTGAAGTCGGTGGAAATAAAGCGATCCCAGTCTCTGATGTCGCTTCTGTTGCCAAAGGTCCGCAGCGCGCTTACAACGAAGCGGTATCGACCGGGAGGTGCCCAGGAACCATCCGCCATTCTGCCGTTCCATGAAGATGCCCAGCCAATATTTCGGTTGTACGTTCTAGGATAGCCTTCTATGTTGCCCACTGTCAAGTCGCCAAGCCCGTTCTGCTTCTGCTGTGGAGCAGTGGTCAAGCATGATGGTGCCAGGAGCTGCAGTTCAAGGCGGACTTCGGCACTCCCCATTACGAGCCAGATGAACTGACTTGGAAGTGCACCTGGCGGTAGGATGAGATCTGAGACGTCAAGCGTATTTCTGGTCCAGTTTTTATGATTAGGTGGGGCAGAAAGCTGTGCAGTCGCTCCGGCTGGAAGCGGTGAGCTGCCCCAGTCGTCCGATCGCGTAGTCCACATGCGAGACGATGCCATTACTGTAGTATTTCGCATCGATCCTACGGCTCCTATATACGGAAGTACAAGCTGTGAGCTGAGATCTTTGCTTGAAGTATCATTGAGAGTGATCCATCCGGAGTAAATGGGTAGCGCAGAGATGTCGACGTCCTTTGGTGGTGTTGCGGAAACCAAGACTTTGACTTCCTTACCAGGCTGAACAATTATTTCTGAGGGGGAAAACGAAAGCTCTGCGTAGGCGCTCGTCAGAGGTGGTGATGAATGCTTGTATACCGTGCCTGACCAGAGGGTGTCCGCAGTGAGCGCGGGCCTGTGCCCGATGGCGTAAGTCACTGAGAGGTTGCCTTCATTTCGAATCGTAAAGGTTTGTTCAGAAAGGAAGTTCTCAGTGTCATTAAAAGATAACTGTGTGACACTCAGGAAGACGGTCGAGTGGACTGCGTCGTATGCCTGTACCAAGCCTGCACCTTGCTGTGGAACGGGGCCAAGACCAGGACTTAGAACTGGCCAGCCTGTCGACATGTCGTATGATCTACCGGGTTTGGCGGACATTGAGAGAATTCCTTGAATTTCCCGAGGATCGCTTGTGTTCCGGCTCTTAGATTTATTAGTATTAGGTCGTCGCTTAAGGGGAGAGAGACACTAACCTCAACAACCAGAGCAACAATGGCGGCAAGAAGAGGGCAGGACATGGACGTTCCTGAAGAAACTCCATAGCCACCCTGAGCTAGTGGCAAAGTCGAAAGAATATTTCCGCCCGGTGCGCCAACATCCGGTTTATTCTTCAAATCAAACGTTGGTCCCCAGCTTGTGAAAGTACTGACGGCACCACCCGTATCCCTATTCAAAATCTCGCTACCTTGTCCGCTAGTCGCGTCATAGGATGGGTCATGGGTATTTTGGAACGACGAAACCGATATGACTCCATCGCCAGTTGAGGGGGCACTGATGCCGAAGAGGCCTTCCGTGCCCCCAACTTCGTTACCAGCTGAAAAGGTGCAGGGAACACCGGCTTCAACAATACGCGACACCAGCAATGCGAATGGGTTTTGGCTCCAGCCACTTGCCAGTCCGACTGACCCAGTGATAATGTCACTTCCACCTTCATACGCCTTACTGGTGGCAGCCATGAGAGCGTCCATTGTCGTAGTGTCAGAGCAGCTAAAGGCGCGGAACATGCCAATTTTGACACCAGGCGCGGCGCCTCTGAAGCCAAGCGGGTTGTCCAGCGCGGCAATTATCCCAGCAACATGCGTTCCGTGGCCGTTACAATCTTCAAAAGGGTCTCCGTCTGGGTTTGGTGGCTGACTTCCATCGTAGCTGTCACCGACGACATCTGCGCCGAACTCGACGAGGCATCCGGGCCCGAAGCAACCCCCGAGGGCTGGATGTGTGTAGTCGATGCCAGTATCAACGATACCTATCCGAAGCCCCTTTCCAGTGATTCCCTCAGCGTGAAGTCGATCGACCTGGGTCATGATGTGAGGCGAATAACCGTCTTTGCCAACCTGTCTCCGCTGAACTTCCACCAAGGGTTTGCCTTGGGCCGTCCAAGATAGATTCAGTTGGGGCGATGAGATGACTTCGACAGGCCAGATATTTTTGACTTCGGGCAAAGCTTCAACCTGGCGTACGACCTCTTCTTCGTCTTTTTTCGGAACAATTCCAAGGTTGAAAGACGTGCCCTTGAAGACTGTGGAGTCGAAGCGGATGCGCTCCTCAACACTGGCTACACCTTCTTGGGCCCCGAGTCTTGAGATGAACTCGTCTGTACTCTATAGGTCCGGTCAGCATACGGTTTCTGTGCAAGCATCCTCGTTCACTTACTTCGCCGTCGGATATCTCTACGATGTAGGCGCCGGCGACATATTTTCCTTTCGTCATATGTGGTGCGATGGCATTCTTATCTTGAGATGCCCTTGCTAGGCCAAGACTGGCAGCCAGAAGCCAGGGGGTGGCTGCACTGAACCTCATTGCAAGTGCTTTCCGTCGAGGTTGTCACGATGCGAAGCGGATTGCAACTGGCTAGTGAGCAGTATTTCGTTCATGGACAGACCGGCGATTAAATATACTTGGTGCAAGTGGCCTTTCTCCCAGAGAGCAACCCCTCTTTTGCAGAACGTCCTAATCCATCAAACCCGCTTGGATTTCCCGGAAATGATGCCAGCAGTAACGCTGCGATGCTGCCGAAAACATCCGCACCTTGCGCAAGCAGCGTTGCATCAGGGCGCTTAAGTCCCTTCGGACCATGGGCACCGCCTTTTGAGTGGGGAATAACGGTTGCATCAGGCACCATGGTGCCGCGATTGAGGTGATTTGAGCAGGAAACTGCTGGAGAGCGGGGATGCTGCTCATTTCGGTATGCGCCAAGCCGCACCGTGTATTCCCGCGATGAGATACATCAACAGTGCAAAGGACGCCATCGCGCAAATTGTCTGGCGTTCTCAAAGATGAAACCTGAATCTGGTCGCTTCTCAAAGAGCTGACTAGAGCCTGATCAAGGTTTATAACACGATAGAATCTCGCTTATAGTACGACAATTTATAAGAATGATGTTGCTGTCAGGTGGTCCCTGCGGAGCCACGGGACAGGGGGCCGATTAGGGACTAAGAACTACGAGAACATTTATACAAGGACTGTGGAGGGCCCTTTTAGCTGCGGAGGGTCAGAATCGGATGTATTTCAACCCCATACCTACTATGTATTGCCTTCGGACCACGTGTGGAAGACCTCTTATTCCGTCCAACCCACGCACTGACAATTGTTCAGTTAGAATATTTAGGACCCCTCATAGGATTATGACATGGGATAGAAAGCTACCAATGTATAACCAGTAATGATGCGCTTCAACCGATGCGATGTGTCACATCCCTCACAGTTGCAATCAAATACGTGGGACGCAAATGGGAAACCTGGCTTGACGATGGTGTCAGAGACAAGCGCTCCTCTTTAGAACTGAAATACCTTCAGGAATTCCAGCCTTGATTTCGACATCCAAAAATGACTGGACTGGCCACTAAAGCCAAGCAATGCGTACTGCAGCCTTCGTAGACTTTCGATATCACAATTCAAGTCAAAGAATTGAATCAAAGTTTGATTTGAAATGCACAACGAGATGAGCTATGATAATTCCATACACTCCCAAATGTTCTGGTCTCTGCTTTGAGTTGCCTGTCTTTGTGGCATGGTTCTTCAGACATCTATGCTCTGCGATGGTCTGCTTCCTGTGACTTACTCCCCACGATATGACAAACCCGAACCTCAACAAATTGCTTTCGCTTCCTCTGCAACTTTGGACCAGACACTGGAGCCCTTCCACACAAACCCACTCAACGACCCACGGCATTGCAGATCATATTTTGAGAAGGTCAAACGAACTCTTCCCTTCTTCACCTACAGATTACCCAATCACGGGACTGCCTTTAGCAGTCTTTTCCAAGACTACAGAGACCAAATTCGCACCTTCGACATCCACCTTCCAGAGCCATACCCCTGAGCTCTCGTCGGACAGACAAGCAGCCAGATAGTGCGTTCATCTGCAGTAGAGGCAGACAGGATCTCTTCTCCCACCATGGTAGCCAAAAGTCCTTCGGGAGAGAGATATTCTCCTTCAGCACAGCCTAAGGGCACCAGCCGGCACCTTTGTCAAGCCCCTGCCCAACCATCTCTCAACAGCGTGCTTCCCTTGGCCCCGAGCGGTGGAGAGTGCTCTCAAGCACTTTCAGTCATTGACCCGCAAAGCAAGGACCAATCGCGCATCAAATTCAGCATCAAAGACCACACCGACTACATTCTTTGGTTGTCATCTCCCGTTGGCCGCCCGCTTGGCATCGCTTTTGCTACTTATTGCAAGCACAGAGGCCGCGCTATTGAGACAGTCCGCTTCGTCTTGAACGAATCATCGGTCAGGGTGAACCCTGAGTCGACGCCTGAGTCGGTATGTTCATTATGTGATATCTACAGGATGAATGAAGGGTCCTAACTTTTGGCTCAAAGCTTGGCATGGCAGATGGAGACAAGATCTTGGTGTATGAGCAGGCTCTTGGGGGATCTGGGCCAGTTGACATGGTACGAAACGAGGTTGATCTGTCTTCATGCTTCGATTTACGATGACTTTGGCAAACACACCTAGTCAGCTGTCATCCGTATCAGGTCAGAGACAGCAACTTGGGGACTAAGGCATGAGCATCGTAGCAACAAGCAGACACGTAGCAAGCAGGCAACAGACCATGACAGTAGGACGCAGGTTGTAGACAGTGTCTAAACATTGTATATGTATATGGTATCTTGTAGCAACGAATGGCAGCATGCCTTTCCAGATGAGCCGCGCATGCCGCTCACGAGGCTGACAGCCCTATTAACCTGGTCCGACATCTGCGCAGTGAGATATGTACCTCCTCCGCGGAACACCCCTTGGTATCAAAGAAAATAACACGCGCTTAGAAGACGCGAGTGAGAGCGCGGCGCCAAGCAGGCATGGCGGCGACGCGGGCACGGTGGGCGTTGATCTCCTCCCAGTTGTGCTCACGGAGACCAGCATCGAGGTCGATCTGGTCAATGGTGAGCCAACCAGTGCGCTTCCAGAAGTAACCACAGGCCCAGAAGACGAGAACGACGGGAATGGCAAGGCACGACATGAAGAAGTCCTCAGCAGTACCGGGGCCGGACTGGCCGTAGGGCATAATGGCAACGAAGATCTGGGCAACCAGGATGACAGCGCAGAGAGTGAGACCCAAGTATGAACCGTAGACACCACCAGCGGCGTGGAAGGGGATCTGGTCGAGCGAGCGACCCTGCCTCTTCCAGGCAGTTCGGAAGCGGATGTGGCACTGGAGAATATTAGCGTTGGGATCAGATGATTTATTAGCATGAGGCAGAACGTACCAGGCAGATGGAGCCCCAGGTGAAGAGAGCGGCCAGGGCGGAAAGAGCAAGGAGCCAGTCGAAGACGACGGACCCGTGGGCGCCGAGGACAATATAGGCAAGGCCACCCCAGGCGAGGAGGAAGAGAACAGACATGAGGGGACGGCCAGACTTGTCAACGTAGGTGAAGAACTTGGGGGCGTAACCGGTGTGAGCGAGCGCGGACAGGGTACGCGAGCCGCCATAGACGCAAGAAACACCAATCGAGACGACAGAGATGCAGATAACAAGGTTCATGAACGTGTCGTAACCCTTAAGGCCGGCATCCTTGGCGGCCAGGACGAAGGGAGAAGTGCCCTCAGCGTAGGGGTTCTTGGCGTTGAGAAGACGCTCGTCGCGCGACGAGACGAGGAGACCGACGAGAGTGAGACCAACGATGTAGAAGAGGGTAATACGCCAGAAGACCTGCTTGACGGCACCAGGAAGAGCTCGGGCGGGGTTCTCCGACTCGGCGGCGGCGAGACCGACAAGCTCGGAGCCAGCGTAGGAGAAGGCGGCAGTGACGAAAACGGAGCAGAAGCCCTTGAAGCCGTTCTGGAACGCACCAGGGTCGCGCCAGTAGATGTCGCCGTGGTACTCGTCAAACTTGTAGCCCTTAGGGCCACCACCGCAGATGAGAACGACAGCGACGATCATGAAGATGATAATGGCGGCGAGCTTGAAGCAAGAGCTCCAAAACTCCTCCTCGGCGTAACCCAGAGTGCCAAAGATGTTGACGATGATGATGACAACCCAGAAAAGAGTAATCCAGACAGCGTCGCTTATCTCCTTGTTCCAGTACTTGACGGTGAAAGAGCAGACAGTGAGTTCGAGGGGCAGGACGATCAACCATTGGAAGACCTGGCGTAGTACGTTAGTCAAGAGGTATCATCAGACGGTTGAAGCACGAAGAACTTACGTAGTTCCAGCCCATGGCGAAACCCCAAGAAGGGTCGATGAAGCGGGTAGACAGAGTGTAGAAACCACCAGAGACAGGGTACATAACAGCGAGCTCGCCAAGGGCGTGGATGACGTTGAAGATCATGACACCAGCGATGGAGAAGCAGATGAGGACAGAACCGGGACCACCCTTGACAAAGGCGCTACCGGAGCCGACGAAGAAACCAGCACCGATGGAACCACCGATGGCAATCATGTGCAAGTGGCGGGTCTTCATGGAGCGATCGAGCTCGACGTCGCCGGTACCGAAGTCACCTAGACATTGTGTCAGTCGGGGGTCCGAAATCTCAGAAAGCGGACGGCGGGAACGTAGGCAGTGTGAGAAAATCGGCCCGAGGCCGGCGGAGAGGTCGGTACATACGGCGAGTGAAGGAGCGGAGGTTGAGACCGTTACGGGTCATGAAGTCCTGCTCACGGAAATCCTTGGGGACGTTGCCGTCGCCGGCGTAGGGGCGGTTGCTCTCGAGCTTGTCGGCATCGAGACCCATGGGGTCATCGACGGTGGGGGGCGCGGCCGTGGCCACGCCGAGGGCGGTCTCCTTCATCGACATTGTTGCGCTCAGTCGGTGTAGAGCTTGGGGTTGGTCAGTTGGTGAGGGTTGAAAGAAGGAATGTACCTCAGGGCCGAAGAAGGGAGGACAGAGCTGGGCTGAAGGGGAAAAAGAACAGAGGTGACGAGAGAGGCGGAAGGGCAGTCTTTTATGAAAGTGCAGGTGCGAACATCCGTCCGCTCTTGCTGCTGCCGCGACTCCTGGTACTGCTGGTGCTGCTCCCGCTCCTGGTCTTGGGTCTTGGGACTGGGTCGAAGACCGGGGGGGCCAGCCGAAGGCAAGAACACGCCGGGAAGGTACAGTGCAACAATGGGAACTGCTTGGTCGCTGGCTGCGTCCGGCCGCCTTCCATGCATGGAAGGATTCCAGTGTCGCCGTATCAGGGGCGTGGCGCTGATTGGCTCACTAGACGTTCCTCACCCTGGCTCCCCTTATCCCCCAGGTGCCCCCGACCCACCCAAACACAGCACCAAGAGCACCTTACTTAGTGGGTCCTCGAGCCAGTGGTGACTTGTCTACTATGCCATCTGGGCTGGGCAGAACACCCACTCGGTCCTGCTTCCTGCGGGAGGGGCAGCTGCGACGTGCACCTGTGCGGCAAGCGAGCGGTGCCCCAACATCAACCCTGCATGGCAGGTGCTCCTTCCCATCCCGGCACCGGCTCGAGACTTGGCTCGTCCTCGTATCCCTGTCGCCCAAGCCCTCGAGAAGGGTCCGGCCCCAGCTCGATCGATCCACCCGACAACAACGGCAGGCGCAGAGTCGCGCAGCCTGGGCCCCACAGCCTGTATGCCTAGGAGCAGCTTTCCAGAAAGGGCAGGTGCGAGTGCGGTCGAAATTGGCTGGAGCTGCCGCCAAGTGATTAGCTGCCACACGGCCCACCACCAACCAGCACCTGCTTCCGGAGTCTTGGCTACCTACCTACCTATCCACCCAGGCCACCGTACCAACACCACCCAGTTGCTCTGGCCTGCTCTTGCTGCCCTCCTGCCTCTCACGCCCCCCCTCCCCTTTCAACTGCCACAGAACTCCTCGTCAGTCCGTAGTCCACCCTGGCTCTGACTGCCTTGCAGTCGCCCGGCCCTCTGCCGCGAAGCGAGTTTGATTGGCCAGACGTGGAGGGGCATGCTTTCCCCACGCAGATAACGGAGCCGCCTATCGCTCATGGGACGGCTATTGATTCGTTTAGGCTTGCTGATGCCAAGGCTGGGATTGAGCACCTGTGCGACTCTATGCCCCAGTTTCCAATCTCTGGCAGGCCTCAGCGACTCGTCGAGTGGCTCGGTTGCGCACATCGCCATCGGTGCATCTCTGGTATCATTCGCCATTCATGCTGAACTGATTTGCCTTCCCCCCCCCTCCTCCCTCACGGCACCCCTCACTTTGGCGTCCGGTCGTCGCTCCCCCTCAGCCGATCCTATCCTATCGTAGCAGCTAAGGTAGATATCCCAAACCAGATACCTAACATAGGTAGGTGGTGCCTTGCAACGGCCATGTGGCTTGGTGGCTGGCTTCTCTTTCTTGCCTCCGCCCATGCTTGGATCTTTTGGCGAATAAGTGACACTGGGTAGGTTCAGGCAGGTGTGCCACAACAAACGGCATGACCTCAACGGCTGCTGGCATGCATTCCGCATTCCTCAGGCCCCCAACCTACCCACAGCACGCCGAAACAGTCATGAGGAGTGCTGTGCTGTGCTGCAGGCTTACGGGGGCTCTCATTCCCATGGTCATCTCGTCTCGTCCGCGTCCTCGTCCTCTCATTTTTCGTGCATGAATGATGCTGCATTCGGGAGGATGCAAGGCCAAGCAAACCCTATCAAGCCTGTTGCCACTCGCGCATCCTGCAGACTACTCAGTTATCAGCCGTCTGTTGTGCGTTTGCAGCCGCCCGAGCTTGCCTTTTTTTTTCTTGACTTTTTCATGTGGACGGAGGGCCAAGCTGCTGATCACGGACCCAAGTTTCCCTAGTGACGAGTGTGTGCGTCCTACCGGCCGGTACCCGCGTATCGTGACAAGAACTGATTGCCGTCGGGCGATGTGGTAGGATTTGCCTCTTGGGGATGCTTTCTCTGCCTGGACGACCCTCCAACAGTTCGGCTCCTTCGGGGAGGAGGCTTTCACGCCCCTGCTGATTGTGTGCCATTGCCTCTATCCTCAGGTTGTGCATCATCCCAGGCAAGCCCCTAGCAGCCTTGTCACATCGGTCCTCCCCCTTCGCCCTTTCCGTTGCTATGCCTCTCCCACCCTGGCAACCCCTACCTTTTTTGTTCGATGAGGGTTCCATGTGCGAGACGATCTTCCCAAGTGCATAACGGCTTGCCACCACAGAACCACAAGCCTGATGCGGTCACGACGGGTTTTGCGTCTCGTTCAGTCATACCCATTGCCCCAATCTTTTCGCATCCGGCCCCATTCATTCATCCCCAGAGTCTCCAGGCAACCAGGTCCTACCTTATTCCTCCGCACGATCCATTCCTCGTTGTTCTTACGGAATCGCGTGGTGGTCTAAAATGCGGAGTGCGTATTGCGTGGTCATGAAAACAGCTGAAACCGTGCGAGACAGGTCTCGCGATGACCAACCTTACGTACAATATGACAGGGACCCGAAGGCATCATTGGCCCGACCCCAGACCCGCGGGCTCTCCCGCCCTGGTAGCGGTGGCGTCAATTCGTGCGTGCCTCGTACTTCGAGACCGCTCTGATTATTGTCCGCTTGTGACCTTCGAAAACAAACCATGGCCATTGATTGATCGACGAAACTTGTCCATCCGAGTAGGCAAGGGGGGGAGTGGTCAAGGTGGTGCACAAGGCGGCCCAGCCTCGCCCAGCTGACAATCGAAAGCTTCTTGTCGTTGACACACACTCACGCACACACACAAAGATGAGCACAAACCATCCCTGACCTCGTCAGCCCTGGCGGGGCACCGCATGGAGTCTCGGGGAGCGCGCGGGTCGATAAACTTCATTCGCAAACTTCCCGAAGCATGTGAGATAGACGCGTTCTCAACGTCGCTCATCGCCTGAGCCGCCTGTGACTGGAGTCGCACCTGGCCAGGATAGGAGATTGCTCGAGTGCCGCGACGCGCCCGCTGAGGCCCAGAATCAATCTTCGGGCCCGGCACGACGGGCGGCGACAGGAATAGCTCCCAGGGCCTGCACCGGAGCAGGAGTCAGACTGCAGGAAGAGCGGCCAGGTCCCCTCTCTTCTCGTGTTGGCCATCGTGCCGAATACAGGCAGGTAGGTGAGTGCTTCAATAAGATTTCAATTGACGGGTCATCCATGCACGCATCGCCTGGCCCTCTCTCCCATCCTGCCTTAGGGTGGTCCTTCGAAGCCTAGTATGGCGCGCGCCAGCGACGGCGCGGGCGCTATTTCGATTCTTGGAATTCGAGGTTGGCGGCGACACTCGAGAACAGCAGGTGCTTGGCGACTTCGCCGCATCGTCAAAGGCAGACGAGCCGCGCTTTCGTCGCTGTGATGGGGCATGGCGAAGCATATGCCCATCTCACCCTTGTCCCCCCCCCCCCCTCCGATCGTTTCGCTAGCGCACCCAGATGGATCGCTGGGGGTCTTGCCACAGCCAAGACACCTTGCCTCCTTCCGTTTGCGACTCATGACCCCGTAATTGGCGTCTGGTCCCGAAGGCGAAGAGGAGGGTTGCGCGATGGCCTGTTCGGGCTCAATCTCCGAGAGCAGGGAGGGGGGGATCAGTGCTGGCGCGTCTCGCGTCGTGTCTCTATCTTGCGCACTGGGGAAGAAAGATACCTTGGTGTTTCGCGACTGCGATGCGATTCGTGCTTCTGTACTCTGTGACTGTCACTTGATGACCGGTGCTGACGCTGACAGGCTGAAAGTTCCTTTTCCTCGCTATCCTGTGCCTCTCCAGCTTGGCCCGTGACTGGTCACAATAATCGAGACCTGGCGATGAAGACAGCCCTGGGAAGAGGGCGATGAGATGATACTGCATGAACCAGGTGAACGCTGCGCACGTCGATTGGAACTCTAGATAAGCTTGATAGCATCGTGTGGTTGGCTGGGCAAAGTGTTTCGAACGCTGTCGCCGATGCTGGTCAGTCGATGTCATGACTCTTGGGCTTTTTCTGACTGTTGGTACTGCCTCACACTTCGGCTTTTCCCTCGACGACGCGAGTTCCTCGACGCTTCCGCTGAGCTTCAGCTGTTCGACACGGTGGTTCGGGAGGCGAGATACAGTGCTGAGGATTCGCGCCGCACGCCGCTACTGGCCCTAAGATTGAATAGCACCACGACCATTCGTCGACGACATGGCTTCCCCACATCGTCAGGCTTCTCGAAGGCTTCCAACCGCGCGCCGCCCGCAGGCCTACAGATCCACCCGAGGTTCCTTCTCGTTAGCGGCCGCTGGCTCATGCTGTGGTGGTGTTCTGAACGAATCGTTTGATATTGGTATTGGCGTTGGCGCCGCTCCCTCACACGTTCCTCTCACGGTCAGATAGCTCCTCCCATCTGAGGGCACCGTCTCAACTCAGCGACGCCACTGGCAGTCGATGGGCTCTCTTTCGTCCGACTTGGTGCCCTCCATGATCCCGACTGCTTGGAGGCTTTCTTTTCCTTGCCGTCCTTAAGCCTCCTGCTGCCGATCGGCTGGCAGCGGCCCATGCATTCCGTCTGGCCACGTCCTCCTTCCATCACCGCCACCAGAGACAATGCGGCCGGCGCCCGACGAATCTTGACAGCAGATCGAGATAGCCACAGGACCAACAAGACAACGGCAAACAGCCACAGGTTCGTTCTGTTTGACGCGCCAAGACTCGAATCCGGGGCTAGAGAGGCCGCCGCCTAGTAACCTTCTTTTTTGGATCTGGCACCGCCGTGGGCCTGAATCCGTGACTCGCCCCTGGTCAGCCCCTGATCTGTCCGGTGTGCTGCCCAAGAGGCAGCTGGTTGGAGCTGAGCCCCTCTCCGAAGTCCGGTTCCCCTTTTGTTCCCCGCCATTGCTCCTCGAGGCGCTATCACGTGT